CCGGCGCGGGGAGCCGCGGGCACCCCTGCTCCGGAGGGACCCCTGGGGGTGACTCCGTCCCCAGCGGGAGCCGCGGGCACCCCTGCTCCGGAGGGACCCCTGGGGGTGATTCCGTCCCCAGCGGGACCCGTGGGGGTGATCCTGTCCCCAGCGGGAGCGGTGGGGTAACCCTTTCCCCAGCCGGTCGCGGTGAGCGCTTCCCCGGCAGCCCCGGCAGACTTCCTGCCCTGCCCCGGTCCTGCCGGCCGTCCTTCTTCCCTGCCCGCAAGGCTCGGCACAGAATGACAGCGGGGACAGCGTCCCGCTCCGTCCCCTTGTCCTGAACCCCCGCCCGGGATCGCGCCGTTGGCCATTTCTACGGGAATCATTCATTCACGTCAAATTTCCTTTATCTCCGGAAAATATTGAAACCTTAAATGACCGTAATAGGAATATAATTGTATGGTGTGTTTTTTGTTGTTGTTGTTTTTGAGAAATCGATTTGGGCTCAAATAACTCATCCGAGCGTGTTACACCAAACCCATTCAAATAGGAAACAGGAGAACTATATTATTGCTGCTTCCTGAACGCTCTGCTTATGATCCCAGTAATTAAAATGTCTAGTAATGGCTCCTGCAGCCTGGATTTCTTTGGGTAATTCTCGGAAATGAAGGGCACATTTTCGGTCGTGGAGGGAGGGGAGTGCGGAGACGAGCAGCGATTGCAGCGGCTGGGAGCCCGCCGGTGGCCCGCTCCCGGCGCATCACTTCGGGGGAAAATTATTCCGGCGGCGGGGAAGTCCCCAGAGAAGGGATTTCCTTCCCGGTCCCTCCGGCAAATCAACTTTTTTTTTTTTTTTTTTTTTTTTTTTTTCCCCTCATGGCGATGCTCTTCCCTCCCTCTCTGCCAAGCGCTGCGAGCGGCACATCTGTCTCTTCACAAGGCGGAGAGACGAGAGGGTCGGGCCAGGGGAGTGGGGGGGGAAAGCCGCCCCCTCCTCCCCGGCCAGCGCCGGCCCCGCATGGGACCGTCCTCGCTGCACGGCCGTGGGGCTTGTCCCCTGCGGCTTCAGCACACGCAGAGCTGTCACGGCACTGCTGGTTTACCCGGCGGGGGGAGCCTTGTGTAATGGGAACAATATTAACAATCCTTAAAGCAAACAAAAAACCAAAAAAAAAAAAAGTAGAAGGAAAAGACAAAGGAAAAAAGAGAAAAGAAAAAAAAATAAAAGGGGGGCCTGGGAGAAAAAAATAAAAAAATAAAAGCAGGCACTTATATTCTTAAATCTCCGCGGAAGTGGGGGGTTCCGCGCCAGGGCTGCTCCGCCTGCGCGCTCAGAGCCGGGCGGCTCCGCGGGGGCCTGCGCCCGGCGGCGGCCCCGGGACGCGTTTGGGGTGAGCTGGCCCCGCTGCAAGACCCGGAGCAAAACCCTGGGGGAGCCAAACAAGCCCGGGGACCCCCCACCCCACCCCTAACTGCTCTCCTCCGCTTCCCTTCCCACGTCAGGTAAAACTTTATTGTGGCGAACATCCTTTTAGGTTTGTGCGGTGGGGTTTTTCTGCGTGTTTGTTTGGTTGTTAGAATTTCTTTTTCTATTTTTTTTCGGGGGGAGGGGAGGGAAGTGTGAGTTGGTGTTTATGAGAAGCTTTATGACTCCTGATAAGCTCATCTTTGAGGACGACACAGAACTGTGTTCCTTGAGGAATTGGGGTGGTGACGTCTTTTCTGATACCCGATTATTACGTGACTGAGGAAAAAAAAAAAAAAGGCATTTGATTCATGAATAAAAATCCGGACACCACTACGGGGGCAACAAACAATATTGCCCGTCCTCTAAGGTAACAAGCAGGCAAATGTTTACGAAGAGAGCTCTTGCCGAAGCGGGGTGTTTGCAAAGATTTTCTTGCTAATTGCGTATCAGACGGAAGGCTGCGGAAGGCTGGTCAAGTTTGGAGCCACCGAGCAGGAGAAGAAGAGAAGGCTGAAGGCGCTCAGTGAGGGGAGAGAACTGGGGAAGACAACATCGCACGCAGCCAGCCCGCGGCTCCCGCCTCCGCTCCCTCCCGGACTCGCTCACTCTCTTCCCTCTTCCCCAGAGCTCGGTTCTCCGGCGACGTCTCGCTCCATCCCTCCTTCTCCATTCCCTTGTAGACTCCACTCCAGATCTGTGCTCCTACCTGCAAACTTTTTTCCTTTATCTTTTTTTTCCCCCTCCCGTCTCTCTTTTTCTTTTTTGGAGTGGATTGCCCTAAAACCAGCAAACAACTAACTGCTGCCGCTTCTGCATCTTCTGCATCCTGCCGGTCCTTCGCCCATCGGAGAGGCGATGTCACGAGGGTTTTAACTCCTTTTGGACGCAACTTGGGAGAGAGCTCGATTTCTCCCCCTCCCTGTTTTGGGTCTTAATTTTTTTTTCTCTTCCCAAGACCTGCCGTTTTAGTTTCGCAGCCAAACCCTCTCAGTGCCGGGTGTCTAGAGTTTAATGGTAAGGACACGAGGTGGCTCGCCGGGCCTTC